CCCGCGTCTCCTGCATCGGCAGGCGGACTCTCAAACACTGCGCCACCAGGGAAGCCCGGGGATAGATTTTTAATTGCTTTTTTTTAATTTTAATTCATTTGAAGCTCAGGCAGCAATAACATATGCTTTGAATAATAATTACTTGAATGCTGATATTTTGGGGTTCAAGCCAAAGTAAATAAAATCTGCAAAAAATGATACAAAATTCCACTTATAAACAAAAGAAATCATAGACGAGGGACACACAGAGTTTCAAATTATCCAGCCTCTTTCACAAATGTCTAAAAATCTAATAAGTAGCTCCCACCCCTAATGGACTATCACATCCCTATTTAGTTTCTTATTTGCCTCTGTCAGACTGATCCATGGGTTTAGTCTCCAAGTCATCAAAACAAGACTCGGCATTGATCACTGAAATTTATGACACTTTGAAAGACTGCACCTGATTAATGGCACAGCACACTCTATATATTTTTCATAGTGACACTCATTCAAAGTCAGCACTGGTAGCATGTTGAAATTGTGGGAGAAGTTTTTTTTTTTTTCCCCTACTAAAGCACTTTCTTATTTTTCACATACTCTACAAGAGATCTAGAATTCCAAGCAACTTCGGTCTTCTCCTAGAAGAAACCCAAAGTGAAGATAAAATCTGGCTTGGAATGCCCTCCTCCTCAGCTGAACAAAGAATCTGTGAAAAGAAAAATTGACTTACCCCATAGAACAGGCCAAAATAGGGAGAGATGTCAGGTTTGAAAATGTTGATGAGGGATAAGATCTCATCTTTGTAGCCCCAGAGCAATTCATCCACCGTGTGGGTCACAAAGAGCTTCTGCTGATAGGCCTTCAACAGGGCCTCGATGAGCTCGTGGAGAAAGGGTAGCTGGGCCCATTCCATGGCGGTCTGAGGAACACAGGCACATTCAGAGAGCAGCGTCCCCACCCCACTCTCCTACTGCCCCTTCAGCAAAGGGGGCTGCAAACGTAAATGTAAAACGTTGAGATCAAATAGCTGAGAGGTTAACCAAAGAGCTCCTCTCTGGCTGAGTGTGAAGAATAAGACTCTTCACTTATTGTCCTTTCTCAGTATTACGTTTTGTAACTGTCATCTTAGCATCCTCACTCGCAACTCTCAGAATTCTCCCAACACCACAGAAGGGGAAAAACTCTTGCAATATATTGGCATCTTTAGCCACAAGGTGGCACCATCTTCCTCCTGATCCGGGTTAGAGGCTGGGTCCCCATAAACTCTGCTCCACTAGCCAGCTGGGCAGGGCCAGACCTGGGATCTAATACTTTCCAGGTCCTGGGTCCACCGAAAGTGTCCAGCTGCATATGTAGCAGTCACCCAGGAGCTGGAGTGGGAACCTCAGAGGGGATAGAAGAAGTCTCCTGGGCCTCATGTGAACACACAGGAAGAAACTGTGAAAAAAATCCTGTAACTTACATTTTGTCACCATTTGAAAAGACCACATTTGAAAGACCTCACAAAAAGTCTGAAACGAACTTTAAAGAAGGGGGAAAAATATAAATATATACATACACACACACACACACACACACACACACACATATAAACATTTAAAAAATATATATATGTATACACATACACACACACACACACATATACACACACACACACATATAACTTAATCGCTCCTAAAGGTAAAACCATAATGGCCTTAACTTAGCTTTTTCCTTTCTTCTAAAATCCACAATAATGAGATTTAAAATGCCTACTTACCAGTGCAGGAATATTTAATGTTCTAAGTAAGTCAACTTTAGGGTCTCCAACAGATTTATCTCGTTCAAAAACATAGGCCTTGTTGCTCACGGCAGATATTGTTGTTCCGTTATCTCCAAATTGAATATCTTCTTTGTTTCTGAGTTCCCTAAAAGAAGAGGATTTCGTTTGAAAATAGGCAACACTTTACTAAGTAATACTTTTCCTTTCCTTCAGCATCAAAGTTATTTTCCAATATAACATTCCCAATACAACCCATATTGGGGGAGACTGCAGATACTGACCCCCTAAACACTGGAGATTTAAGCTATAATGTGGAAAGGAAATGAGGCCCCGGAGAGAGGAAAAACAGTGTTGTTTTCATTCTTTCCCCTCATAATTTGGGAAATGCAATGGTCAAGGGTCACCTTAACTAGGGAATCAAAGCCAGTGAACTCTCTCCTGGGTTATAGTTTGGTCCCGAAATATTTTCAAATTTTTCAGTTCATAAATTCAGTTTCAATTTCAATGTGTTTACCAATGTCTTTTTATTTCTAAGTTGAATTCAATTAAAAATCCATTTAACAAAACAAATGCCTAAGGTTTAGTAAATTAGAGGAGTTCACTCCTGGCTTTGATATCCATTTCAGCTTGGTGCCTGTGAGTGCCCCCAGATGAGGTATTAGCAAAGTTGGTAGGAAGTGTCTGGTGCCAGGCCTGAGACTAGGGTGAGGGAAGTGATGCACCTGCCTTGGGTACAAAATGTAAGAGGTGCCCAAACACTCAGCAGTCAAAACCAATAATACTTTAATGCAATTTTAAAAGATCAAAATTAATGCTAAAAATTCATGATGAACAGAATATCAAAATTTTATATAAAAACAGGACTGATGTTTCGTCCATCAAATGCCTCATGCCAGTCCTAAGCCTGCCTGGTCCATAGTAGATGGTCACTAAATTGCCATGTGTATTCCTTCTCTGCCACTTACCTCTTCTTCTTGTTTCATCAAGGGCTGTGTTGTCTCACCTGGTAGCCCTGTGTCTCCTGAACCCTTGAACTGTAGCTAATTGGAACTGAGATGTGTTGTAAGGGTAAAATACACAGCAGATTTCAAAACCAGTACCAAAAAAAAAAAAGAATGTAAAATATCTCAACTTTTTTATATTGATTACATGTTGAAATGATACCATTTTATTTATTTTTTAAATTGAAGCATAGTTGCTCTACAATATTATATGTTATAGGTATACAGTACAATACAGTGATTCACAATTTTTAAAGGTTATACTCCACTTACAGTTATTATAAAATATTGGCTATATTCCCCGTGTTGTACAATATATCCCTATAGCTTATTTTATACCTAATAGTTTGTACCTCTTACTCCCCGACCCCTCCCCCCTTCCCTCTCCCTGCTGGTAACCACTAGCTTGTTCTCTATATCCGTGAATATTTTTTGTTATATTCACTAGTTTGTTGTATTTTTTAGATTCCACAGATGAGTGATAACATACAGTATTTGTCTTTCTCTGACTTATCTCACTTAGCATAATGCTCTCCAAGTCCATCCACGCTGCTGCAAATGACAAAATGTTGTTTTTTTTTATGGCGGAGTAGTATTCCAGTGTGTGTGTGTGTGTGTGTGTGTGTGTGTGTGTGTGTGTGTACCATATCTTCTTTATCCATTCAGAAATGATACTATTTTAGATGGAATGAGTAAACTAAAAATATATTATTAAAACTAATTGCATCTGTTTCTTTTTATTTTTTTTTAATGTGGCTACTAGAAAAACCTGGAATGACATATGTGTTTCACATTATATTTCGATTGAACAGAGCTAATTTAGACAAAGGTACGAAGACATTAGGCAGTGGGGCTACTACCTCCTCCGGAGGCCTTTCCCAACCACAGCCACATGCGGGGTTTCTCATCCCTGAACACCCATAGAGCCTGGCACTCAGTTATAAAATGCTTAGCGACGTCATTTAGATTGTTTAGAAATTAGCTCGAAGCCTCAGATAGATTGCAAGTAAGCTTAAGAAACTTGTATGCCTCAAATCTTTTCCAGATTTTAAAATAAAAATAGACAAGCAAACAATAAACAAATGCATACCTATACATAAAAGCAGATGAGTCTTCGTTCTTCTCTAGTACTTAGCACCAAGCTACACACAGTAATATAAATATCTGATACTTGCACAGCTCTTCCAAGGGTTTGACCACACTATGCCATTTGATATCATTTAATCTTTCTAACAAGCCTGTGGCACACACGGAGCAAGTATTTTCGTCCAACTTTTACAGCTGGGGACTCAGGGCAGTGGAAGAGTCAGAACCTAAGCTCAAGTCTTCTAATTCTTGCCTAGTACTCTCTCCTCTGAATCAGATGGTCTCTCCTAGTAGGTGCTTACTAACTGTCTGTAGGATGAAGCCAATGAGTGCCTCTAGCAATTGCCAAATCTAAATAAGTATGAGAGAAAAAAAGTCCACGCCCTTCCAGTTTGCGAGGAATATGTACAAATACTTGTTAAAAGCCTTGTGCAGTTTGCAGTTCAGGGTGTTTGCACTGGACGTTTGGTTGTTAGATACTCACTCCCCTTTCTGCTCATCAGAGCCCTCATTTTCTTTCCTCTCCTGCACTGGGCAGTGGTGTGGTACCCAATTCCTTTTCCTTGGCCCCAGAATCCTGAGCACAGAGCCTCAGGATGGAAAACAGTAGACAGACGTTTTCTCCCAGGACGCACAGATGACTCATGGGCTCCTGTGACTTGGGTCTATAAAGCTTCCCCGGCCCCTGCCCCTTTCTTCTTTACAGGTTTCCTTGGGATCTGTAACCCACTTTATAGCCTTCCAATACATGCTCTTTTTACTTAAATTAGAGGTTTCTCTTGCTTGCAACCAAAAACCCTCTCATAGAGAAATCATAACCCATGAGGAAACAGAGATTCAGCTAATGTAACTTTCCCAGGACTAATCAAGAAGTGTTAGACCTGGGTTCAGACTCTTGGTAGCCTGACTTCATGTCCAAGGTCTTCCTTGAGTCTACACCTAAGTGAATGCAAAGGGATTTGTTAGAAGCTGGAGGAAAAGAAGAAATTTCAAAGGCAAATCCCTGCCCGAGCCAAGGCAGGTGCCTGCAGAGAGGGCCCCCCCCCCGCCCCGTTTCTAGTCCCAGAGCCACCCTGCAGGGAAGGGGAAAGGACAGACTTCTCCAGGAGAAGTTGTGTATAATCGGGGCCCAGGATCCCAGCTTGGCCCTGCTGACCACCAGGGAACTAGAAGTAGAAAAAGCGACCCCAGGGTGAACGCCAGTTTCCTTGCACTCACAGAAAGCTGGGCCAGGCAGTCAAGAGCTGGGATTCAACACAGATTCAGAAGCCAGGGACCAACACTGCCAAGTTTTCTAACTGATGACGAAAATCGATGACCTTCCCAAGACTTTTTGTTGTTTTCACTGAGCCTTAGGTCATACACGTAGAGGACTGAGTAATTCCAAGTCTAGAGCCTGCTTCATTTATGTCTATGTATGTTTACTGACTTTGAAGATGACTTTTAAAATGTTTTCTTTATTGCTTACCCTGTAAGAACCTGATGTTTTAAAGGGAAATTGCACATGGATGTTCCAATCGCTTTCTGCCTCGTAACTTGACTTGGTTTCTCAATAAACTTCAAAAAGTCAAAGCCAAGGGTTCCTGAACCACAAAAACATTTTATTCCCTTGGCAGGCACAAAGGGTTCATGTCAGGTCACTCAGAGCTAACCAGGAGACTTCCCTCAGTCACCAGCCGTCCTCGGGCATGGCCGACACACAGCCTTTGCTGAGCCATCTAACTGAAGGGAGACAGCGCCACAGGGCTGTCAGGAGTGGCCTCCAGCTCTGCAGAGGCCAGGAAAACCGAGGGGAGGGATGGCAAGGGACCTCCGTCTCAAAACAACATGTGACAGTCAGAGGAAACCCAAAAGGCTTCCCCTTCCAAGCACTCCTGTCACGCTGGTGACCCTAGGGAGGTCACAGCAAAAGGAGAGGGAGTTTAGTAACAAGAGCTAGAAGTCTCGTTACCCAAATCTCCCGATAGCTGATCAACCATAGTCAGCTAGAGGCAGGGCACTGTCCTGGTGAACAGCAGACTGAGAGCAAGAAGTGATGGATTAGTGCTTTACTATATTGGAGAAGACCAAAGAAGCTTCCAGAAATAGAAACAAAATTAAAAAACAAAAAGGCAAAGCAAAATCGCAGGCCTAGACAATTAATTAAGGAACCATACTTGAAAGTGCCTGGTATAGTCCCTGGTACTTAGTAGATACTAATTAATCCTACTGATTGATGTCAAAAGCCCCAGGACATCACAGGCTCAGAATGCAGTTTACTGTTTGTTAATCACAATGATAGCCCTAGTCACTAAGAAAAGGTTGATTATGCCCCATGAACTGTTTAATCTGGCAGGAAAATATATAATTGATTTTACAGATATTTCATTTAAAACCTTTTTTTAAAAGAAGTTCTTACTTTTTAAAACAAGAAAGAATTTTTAATCTCCTGAATGTTTAGGCAAAATCTCACCATCACAGAAGGCAAAAAATACGCCTGAGATAAGGAAACCAAAAGGAATAATTTTAATCAATTGGAAAACTAACATCTCTGCAATATCTAATTCCTCAGAGGTGTCGGATAAATTAGATACACTCAATACCACCATATAATCCAATGTCCCAAGTCATTTCTGTTCTCCATTCACCCAATGCTCTCTGTTGAGGATTCCTATAAGAAGTGACTGAACACACTGGGTAGAGTCTGGGTTGAGATCTGTCTGTCAGGCTTTGCATTCAATCCTGGCTTCATCCGTTACTAGCTTCTGTGCCTCAGTTTCCTCATCTGTAAAATGGAAATAACAGCATCCCTTCCTTGTAGGGTTGTTGTGAGAATTAAATCCACATAAGCTTGTCATCCAGTTAGAACACTACCTGGCACATACTAAGTGCTTCAGGAAACATTAGCTACTAATATCATGTAGGAGGGGGTTTGTGCTAAGTTCTTGAGATGGAGAGATGTTAAGACCTGGGTCCTGTCCTCAAAGAATCCACAGCAGAGCAGAGCAGGCTGCCGTTTAAAGGGCTACCTCACAAGTAGAAAGAGCTCTGAAGCTGACCCCAAGGTGCTAGGTCGGGG